TGATTAAACAGATACTTCCAGTCCCTCTGACCACCACCAGCAGGCAGGGACGGTAAAGTGTCTTGCCCAAAATCGCAGCAGCATGGATCGAGCCGTAACTCGTCTGATAACTGGATCACCTGCTCCCCCTTCTGAGCTATTGCTGTCCCTAGCTGGACTTGGACATGTTTGGATAAGCCTTGTGTATCATTTTGCCTTGAGGAAAAGAAAACGCGTTTAATTGAATTAAATTGTTGATTACATAATAATACTAATTATAATAAGGCTGTTTGCTTTCACATTTGGTGACCTCGACCTCACTGAAAAGCTGATGACACTGTTAAACTTGGAGTCACATTCTGGAAACCGGATCGTCGTGGGAATGCTTCTGAAGAATCTGACGTGTTATCTGCTGAAAAGCAGGAATCTGTCAGCCATAAACAAAACCAATAAAGCAGAGCATCAGAAAATTATCTGATCATATAAGACGGTTTTATCTGATTTTTCTATTGCTTTCACTATCTAAATAATCATATGGATCTACCGTGCTTTCTTTATTTCTTCAAAATAAAAATGTTTTTTGTGGCCTCTATGAAGATACGATTTTATTTTGAAACATGAAACCATGAGAGCTGTAATTAAAAAAACACGTGAAGTTGAGTATAGTTAGAAAAAAGCATATGATTGTAATTTTAAAAACAAACTTATTGTTCTTCTCCAAGCCACAGAACTCTCAAAGTCTTCCAGAATAGAATAAAACCGCTCCTCCTGAAGAAGGGTCAGGGTTAGAAAGTACCAAATAAACTAGATAAATGTTTTGTGGGTACATAGGTACATGGCTCTGGGGGCTGTGAATTTCAAGGAAGCTTTCTAAAATAAAGCTTTGACCACAAAAGATGGAGATGATCAATGAGATCTTGGATGGATGCTCTGATGTGTCAGAAGAATTCTTGTGAAGCCCTGGACTTGTTGTGGAAGTTTCTCCTTCTGCAGAAATGGACCAAGAATGTGATGATGGTGGAACCAGAGATGTGAGACAGCTGAGCCCTGAACCCAACAGTTTTCTCAGGTAAGTTCCTTGAAGAGTGAAGGTTACCCTGAACGTACACGTTTTGGTCTGTGGGAGGGAACCAGAGTTCCCACCCACTCATGGAGAGAACATGCAGAAAGTTTCCCGCAGGCGGGATTCAAACCTGCAACCTTCTTGCTGTGAGGCAACAGTGCTCAGCTGCTCCACAATGCAGACCCATGAGTGAGATGTTTTTTTCCAACCTTAATTTTACCAGGTAAAATGTAGGAAGTTGTGTTGTAAGATGTTTTAGATTCCTAAAGAGACAACTTGACCCAACTGACCAACCAGAATTTTAAACTTGATATGCGTCGAACTGCCAACAACAGCCTTTCCTGAGAAGCAAATTTCTCACAATTAATAAACACATGTTCAACGGTTTCTTCAACACCAAACCAGTCACACAGTCCAGCGGGATATTTCTCCATTCTAATAAGGTACAGTAGTGCAGTGGTTAGAGCTGTTGCCTTGCAGCAAGAAGGTCCTAGGTTCGCTTCCCGGCCTGGGATCTTTCTGCATGGAGTTTGCATGTTCTCCCTGTGCATGCGTGGGTTCTCTCTGGGTGCTCCGGCTTCCTCTCACAGTCCAAAAACAAGACTGTTAGGTTGATTGGTCTGTCTAAATTGTCCGTGTGTGTGTGTGTGTGTGTGTGTGTGTGTGTGTGTGTGTGTGTGTGTGTGTGTGCATAGTTGTTTGTTCTGTGTATCTCTGTGTTGCCCTGCGATGGACTGGTTCTCTGTCCAGGGTGTACCCCGCCTGATTGCCCATTGACCACTGGAGATAGACCCCAGCTTGGAAACCACTAATTTGGAAGAGAAAGGGATGGGCACCCTATAGTGGCAACAAGCTAGTACGATACTTCAGCTTACAGTGTGAGAACATTTTATCCTTCCTATCTCAATGAAACTGATATGAATCCTAATCTAAGGGAACTAGAAATACTTAGAGTATATATATATATATATATATATATATATATATATATATATATATATATATATATATATATATATATGGGGCAACAGTAGCTCAGGTGGTAGAGCGGGTTGCCTCATGATCGGAGGGTCATGGGTTCAATTCCAGCTCCCGCCAGGGGTATCCTGCTGTTGTGTCCCTGGGCAAGACACCTCACCCAACTTGCCTGTGTTAGTGGTGGTCAGAGGGGCCGACGGCGCCAAATGGCAGCCTCGCCTCTGTCAGACCTCCCCAGGGCGGCTGTGGCCTGAAGCAGCCCACCATCACCAGCAGTGTGTGAATGTGAGAGTGTGTGAAAGTGTCTTTGGGTGTCTAGAAAAGCGCGATATAAGTTCAATGCATTATTATTATAATACAAATAATATTAAAATTTATAATTAATTAGTAATAATATAAATGTAAAATATATGTAAATGAAAAAGAATAGTTTTGCAGTTTTATTTATTTATTTTGACACGGCTTACACAAAATTAGATTAATTATCACTGTGTTTTTTACACACATAAAAAACATCGTACATTAATACACAGTATAGCAAAAAGTAATTGAGCTGTACTAATTTGCCTCTAAAAAATTAAATCTGCTTCAAGATACCTTTATTTATTTCTTTTAGAATTTATTGTACTCATCAAAGCACACTGGGGCATCATTCTGATCAACCCTACTGAAACTGAACTTTGCCTTCCCCCAACCACCCACACACACCCACCCACCCACACACACACACACACACACACACACACACACACACACACACACACACACACACACACACACACACACACACACACACACACACAGAGAAGATGAGAAGGAGGGAGGGAGGGAGAGGCGGAAGAGGTGTGTTCTCTCTGTTCAAGTTTCCTCCAAATGGCGAAAACAGCCGAGAGACGGTTGATAGGGTTGATCCAGCGGGAGAGGAAAGCAAGCAGAATCAGTAGAAGGTAGAAAGTCAGAATTCAGCTCATCGGTGTTTAATAATCTGTGGGAGAAAACAGAGTCGAGTCTTTTCAGCCAAACTACAACTTCTCTGCTCCAAAGACGGAAACGGCTGAGTGGGTCGGGACTTGAAGACCTTTGTACGAGTCTAAACAACAAACAGATGTAGCTTACACTAAAACACGCCGCTCTAGTTACACCGGAGAAGATTTAGGTGAGGTTAACTTTCTGTGGGTCCGCAGCGGGACCGTGAGTTGTTGTTCATTTTGTTGTTTTGCTGTTTTAGTGTTCGGGATGGGGAACAGCAGCAGTGACCGATCCAGCGGGGAGAGGTCCTTCAGAGATGGACATTCAGGAGGAAAAGAGGCTCGACCCAACATCCTGATGGACAGCTCTGAGGATGCAGACCTGTTCCACAGAGATGATCCTAATAAGGTACCCTCTGGTTCTGACCCCCTCCTAAGCGGCCAGTCTCCACCTACCAGCCGAGTGTTATTATTCTCATCAATATTATAGTAATATTGTTTATTCATTGTCATAAAACGCTTAACATTTGAAATTATATGCCAAGTTTTACACACACACACACACACACACACACACACACACACACACACACACACACACACACACACATATATATATATATATATATATATATATATATATATATATATATATATATATATATATATATGCTTCTCTTTAACATAGGTTTTATATGTTCTCTTGAACTGGCCTCTGTTTCAATTCATCTATTATACTGTTGCTTAACTTTATGAATTCATGATTTTATGAAATGTTGGTGAATGTATATGTTTGAAATAAAATGAACTGAACTTAACCCCTGCTATAGAAATTCACATACCTTTTAGCATTGCTCTTGTCTTACAAATTTTAAAGGGAAACTTTGCAACTATGTCATACATTTTCTTGAGCCAGTTTGTGTTACAATGACCCTTTACAGGGTTAATGAAAGGCCACCCAGCCCCTATCACCCTTGTGGCCAGAATACTCCACTTACAGCTTCACAGTTGCTAGTCCGCTCTGGATTTAGAAAAAAATTGAGCTTACACACCTTGCGCTGCAGTCTGGCTCCAGCATTTTTCCTACGATCATGAACACAGCAGATTTATATAATTTGGTGATGAATCACCCCTATAGGCACTAAGGAAGGCTGGGAGATGTTTCAGATGTTAGATTACGGCGTTAAAAAGGAACGCACAGTGAGGAGACAAACGGACCATAGTTAGTGCTAAAAACAAGCCAAAACTGCCTGTTCTCCCTTTAAAAATAGGTAACGCTTTACTTTAAGTGTCCTCTTATTGACGTAAAGTATTATTAAAGGATTCCTTTATTAATGTTCCCAATATAGTTAACAATTAAGTGTCCTTAAGATTGGAACAAAGGGCCAGGGGCAGGAAGTGTCTGCATAGTAATTCCTTACTTAATATTAGCATTAATATTAAGCTGTTGTTAATACTTTATTTATCAGTTTATTAATGCTTAATAATGCACCAAGTAACTTTAATAAAGGGACCCTTATTGTAAAGTGTTACCATGTTATATACCCCATCCCGTTCCAACAAATAATTTCATTATTTTTTAGGAAATCTATGATCTGAGACCTAAACAAATAGTGTTTATTTGTTTGCGTTCTCTTTGTAATCTATTTGATCAGTTAATCAAATTGCCCTTCTCTGTACTATTGTTATTGAGTGGGTTTAGCTTTTATAGGTATTACCCCACACATCTACACAGTAACTCAAGAATGACAAATTTTCCATAAAAGGCCATTTCTCCGAGCCGATTTACCACAAACTTGCTTTTACTCCTTAGTTTTTATGCAAAACAAACAATAAACAGCTGTTGTTATTGTTAGCCTTTTAGTAGTCATTTATTAGTGTTTTAGCGATTGTTTTTACTTGTACTTTTATTTTTCCAACTGTTTTTTCTAGAGGCTGACCAATATGTTTTTTTGTGGCTGATGCTGATACTGATTTCTAAAGAATTTTGTTGCCGATGACCGATACTTGGAGCCAATTATTAAGGCCGATATACGCACGTATTAGCAGCACATTGTGTGTTAAATACAACTGAACACTCACTGTGTGCAGTATAAATTAAATAAGTCATGAACCCTCCGGAGGCAGGCGTTGCAGATTTGCAGCAGTTAGAACCTACCTACCTGGTTACTCTCCACATACGTATTTATCTCATGAGCATTTTTAACTCTGAAGTACCCCTGAAGGACTTAGTTGTTCGTTCTTTCATCAGAACTTATTTTGAGCCTGAGAGGGTTAAATATCTGAATATATATTGAACTTCAAATATAAAACAAACTCAAAACATAAAAAGACTGTAGGGGTCCTTCAGGTCCTTTATTCAGTCTAGTAGTGGCAGCAGTTGGCCACAAGGTGTATTTAATTTTTTTAACTGGCTTTTAAAAATAATTTCAGCCGATGGCAGATATGAAAAAAAATTTGAATATATCGGTCGGCCTCTAGTTTTTTCATGTGTACAACACTTTGGTTATTCTGGGATTGTTGACAGAGCTGTGACATCAGTTTAACCCCTTACACTCCTTCTGGACCCCTAGGTTTTCATACGCAGGAGGAAGGTAAGTGGTGTGTACATGTACCTTCAAAACAAACTTCATCATTTAAATGTCTAACCCTGAAGATGTGGGAAAACTTTATATGATGGGTTTAACAGCTCGCCTTTAGGTTGTCTCAAATAAACGCTTCTAGAAGACTACAGACTGGTAAAGTGTGCAGTTTCTGGGTTTTCCTGCTCAGAGCCAATGTTCAACATCTATCTGAACACTTGCAGATGGTAATATTGGTGTCCGTGTTGAATCTGAACGTGTGTGTTTATCTCCAGGCTTCGTCAGACATGCAGGAATTCCTGGCATGGCAGCATGACCTGGACTGTGACAGTAAGAGCCCAACGCAGGCCAAACCAACGGTGTTCAGGTGGGCTGGAGGTGCCAAGGAAGTCTACGTGTCTGGGTCTTTTAACAACTGGGCCACCAAGATCCCACTCAACAGAAGGTCCTCAAGTGAAAGAAAGTGTTTTTTTTATGATTTCTTTGAATAAAAATGATATTTTTTTGTTTTTCAAACACAGTCAGAATAACTTTGTGGCTATAGTGGATCTGCCGGAGGGGGAGCACCACTATAAATTTTGCGTAGATGGTCAGTGGATGTTGGATCCGACTGGGGTGAGTAAGGAAGTGGTCCACCTTTATAAAAAGCTTCTATTACACCTCTTTCCTGTAATCTGAAGCTCTGGTGTCTGACACCTGCTTGTTCTCCGACAGGCTGTGACGACCTCTAAAACTGGAACTGTCAACAACATCATACAGGTGAAAAGAACTGACTTTGAAGTCTTTGATGCCCTCAGGATTGACTCGCAGGATTCAACAGATCCGTCTGGTAACGAAACCTACATTACATCTAAACAAGTCTGGTTTCAGCCTGATTGTTTTTTAAAGTAAGACTGTAATTAACCCAGACATTATTATTGTCTTCCAGACCTGTCCAGTTCCCCGCCTGGTCCCTACCAGCAGGACGGATATGTGATCAAACCAGAGGACAAGATCAAACAACCTCCCATCTTACCGCCTCACCTGCTCCAAGTGCTGCTCAACAAGGACACGGGTGTCTCTGTGAGTTGATGCTAAACGTTCTTGTCATTAAACAAACAGGCTCTTGTAATAAAATAAAACGCTGCTCCCTTCAGTGTGACCCGACGCTGCTTCCAGAGCCCAACCACGTTATGCTCAACCACCTGTACGCCCTCTCCATCAAGGTAACACGATAAACAGCGTTAGCTCTATATTAACACCATCCTGATCCTATCGATGTGGATAACATGTTGGAACCTTTCATTGTCAGATGTTTCCTAAATTAATTTTGCTATATATATATTTTTTAATTGTAAATGATGCCTCTCTCGTCCCTATGTTTTAGGACGGGGTAATGGTTCTCAGTGCTACACACCGATACAAAAAGAAGTATGTGACCACTCTCCTGTACAAACCGATTTAACCTGCGGAGAGGAAATCAAGCTTCTAGCTGCTGTTTGTTCTCTTCTGTGGAAACTGGACCAAAATCCATTCCTGTTCGTTTGAAAAAAAATCTCTCAAGCTGATTTCTTTTAACCGGTTTGTAGATTTTTCAGCCTTTTTGCTAAACTTTTTTTTTTTAACAAATCAGTCTGTTCAGACTCACTACGGTGTGAGATTAGGATTCATTCTTCCTTCATCAGATCCACGTTTGTCACAAAAACCTGTAAATCATCTTTTTAACTCACTTTACATGCAGAGAACACACTAATGAATGCACCAGCACTACCACGCCTATATGTTTTATACCTAGCAAAGTGTTTTATGTGTCTCTTTCTGAACCTCAACAACAAACAGAAATGTCCAAATGAAAGTACGTCCTCACCTAAACAGTTAAGTATTAATGCTTAAGGACATTAATAAAGGAATGCATCATTTGAAGGAATGCACATTGTTTCCTGTGTGCCAGAGTTTTAAATGAAGATCATTTAATGTGGAAACGTTTTGGATTTAACATTTTTATAGCAAATTTTTAAAATAGAGCAATTTTCTGCAATAGGCCAAGATCTGTTACAACTCTGAGTGTGTTGAGAAGGACTCTTAGCAATACGAAACCATGTTTGAGCTCAGTAGCTATAAAATCAGATGACTTGTGTTTATTTTTGTGTTTTCAAAGGTCAGCTGGCCATTGCAGATGTATATAAAATTAGACCGTCACCAACAGGTGCAGATTTACATCGAGTTACGACTTTCTAAGGGTTTCTATCTCATTTACAGCTGGTGAAGCCGCAACATTCCTCCTGTTTGACCGTAAACATCTGAAAGTTTTTATACCTTCTCAGATGTGCAATAAAACAAATGCATTCAACACCACGAAGCTGCTGACTGACTTTTATTTAAAGTGGTGTTCCTGTGGATCTGGCTTAAGTAAACATTTCTAACCTGGTTGTGGAAGTCTGACATTCGGTAGCAGTCCTCACACATGAGAAATCAGTCACAGAGTTTTATTATAAACTGCTCCTCATCTACAAATCCAGACTGTGATGAGGCAGTTTTTGGGGGGCTCAGTCGACACAGTGGGATTTATCCAGGTCCTTGTTTTTGGGGTGGTAGGGATTCCGAGCGAAGCACTGAGCCACCGCCTTATCACACTTGCACACAGCAGCCTGGCACTTATTGTTGGTATCTGCAGACAGAACCGGGTCAGAACAGAAGCTCTTCTAGGTTTGGAAAACAGGAAATGGTGACAAAATGTGTAAAGTTGGTCGTGTTTTACACCTGCTAGTGTTTACAAAGGATACACACAGAGCCAAAAATGTGCTCCGTCTAGCTAGTTCTGTTTACTGTAAAGCAGGATGCTTTAGATAATCATTTGAGTGTATAAACATGGCTGCAGGCTTGGAAGTGTTTAAGAGATGTGTGAATGAAAATGTAAAAGTCATAATTTCTAATTACATCCTTACCTGAGCACTCCACCTGTTTATTAGAACATGTGTAATCATAAACAATGGTGTAGGGGCTGTCAACAATAGAGCTGCATTCTGGGACACTCCTGCTGGTTGAGTAACATTGATCATGAGTCTTACAGCACCTGAGAAAGCAGAAGGACACACACGCACACATTTGAGATGTTTTAGGGTTTTAGTTTTAAATAATAAATAAAGCTGATTGTCTCCTACTTGTCTACTCCATCCACGGGCTTTCCAGACCCCCCGAGGCCACACCAGCAGCCGTAGTTGTTGTACCTCAGAGGACTGACTCCAGGCTGAACACAGCTGATCATCTCCGCAAGCTGCACCAAGTTTCTGCGATGCCGTGCTCTACCAGCCACACCGGCTGGGAGGACATGAGACAAACACACAGGTCAAGACAAAATAAAGATCAATTCAGAGACTGGTATATCTTTTGCAGTCTTACCGATGAGAAGCAGCAGGAGAGCCCTTCCATTCATGGCTGCAGCAGAAAACAAATGTGGGATTTGGTGAGATTTGCTCTTATATGACGAAAGGGAGATAAAACAAAGAGGGCGGGAAGCGTACAAAGAGACACGTCCTGTTCTAACCAGGACAAGTTATCTCATACTTAGTCATAAGCCTGTATTGGTCTGGTTCTGGCAATATTTGACTATTCAAGGGTAAATTAAGACTGAGATGATCTTTATTAAAATAATTAACTGACTCGTTTATTACCATCACATTAACGTAATTAGTGTCACAGATTGTGGTCAAATGAAGTAGTTCAGATCTGTTTAAATGTGTTTCCATAAGAAGGTTTATAAACAAATAATGCTATAGTTTCAGACGGCCCTTTAAACAACTTCAGCTTGGAGAAATGGAGATTAGTTTTTACCAGAAATGTGAGCTAATGGCTAGTCTGAGTGGAGTCACTCAAACGTGTTTCTGTCATCTTAAAAAACTACATTTCTTATTCATCATAAATTTCACTTTAATAATAACAGAATTGTGAGATTATGTGAAACAGAACATGTTCTGTGGAGCTAGTTATTGCTGCCATTTCTTATTAATTCTCTTAAAAAACATCAAATGTCAGTTTTTTGTTTATGTCTTTGTATTTGCATAAACCATTGTGATTATTTTGTTTTTCATCCCAATGTAAACTTTGACTGAAGGCACAGGTGTGTTAAAATTACAGTGTATAGTTTTAACCTTTAATTTCTGGAAATATCCATGGAAATGTTGAAAATGAATGAAACGATGCCCAGATGTCGAAAAATATTGGCGGCTTTGTAACATACAACAATGAAAATTGGGTCTAAAATACAAGGGAGTGGGTCTAAGTCTCTAGGCGACACCATGTTAGATGTGACGTTTCCTTCTAGCCTGTGAGGACAAAAGGCAGTTACTGATATGTAAGAAGTGGTTACAAAACTACAAAGCACAAAAATACCACTTGCTTTCAATGATTTAGTTATACACTGTTCCCTATCGCCAGGGAAAACACACAAGGTCACTTTAACAGACTGGATTCTAGTTAAAGGAAGTTTTGCATGTAAGCATTTTTTCCACAAAATGAGAAGAAGAAGAAAATATCATTTCTATAGCGCCTCAAGATAAAAATCACGAGGCTGTAAAAATATTTAAAAAAAATTTAGAAAATGGTTAAAAATATATTTAAAATGAGCAAAAAAATAGACAATTGTGATTAAAAAAATGTTAATAAAGAGAGAGTGTGAACAGGAAAGAGGGAAATCAGTGGATCCCGAGGAAGGTGGAATAGGTGGGGAGAGCAGAATAAAGAGAGAGTGGTGATGAAGATCATACAAAAGCCAGCTTGAAGTTTTCAGCTGCTTTTTGAAGGAGACCACTGAGTCCACTGATCCCAGGCTCAGGGGGAGAGAGTTCCAGAGTCTGAGGGCCACAGCAGCAAATGATCTGTCACCTTTGGTCTTTAGCCTGGTGCTGCACAACCAGTAGGCTTTGATCACTGGACCTCAGGGACCTGCTGGGGGTGTAGGGACTAAGAAGATCATCAATTTAAGATGGTGCTTGTCCATGTAAGGTCCTATAGACCAGAACCAGGATCTTGAAATGAACCCTGAAGGTCACACAAAGATTCCTGACGGAGGGTTTGGTGTGAGAAGGAAGCTGACCAAGAGAGTCTCTGACCTTGGGAACCAGCTTGTCTGGGGCACAGATGAGGTCCAGCAGGACCAGGACAGAACAGTCCCCTGCATCACTGTGAGTCAGAAGGTCATTAGAGACCCTAAGAAGAGCTGTTTCAGTAGAATGAGCTCTATGAAAACCTGACTGTAAGCTATCATAGATGTTATGTTCATCAAGAGCTGCTGTGAGATGTTTAGCCACAACCTTTTCCAAGACCTTGGAGATGAACGGAAGTTTAGAGATGGGTCTGAAGCTGCTATGGAGAGAGGGGTCAAGACTTGGTTTTTTAAAAAGCAGGTGGATTACAGCGTTCTTAAAGTAAGCAGGGACCTGACCAGAAACCAGAGAAGCATTAATTATAAAGAGCACTCTGGGACCGATGGACTGAAAAGCACTTTTAAACAAAGATGAGGGTGAGATGTTGAGGGGGCATGCAGAGGTCTTCATAGAGTTAACTAGTTTGGTTAACTCAGGCAAAGAAACAGGAGCAAAGCTATCTAGGATGATGGGCCTGGTTGGAGTCGGGAGAGGCAGTGATAAGGCTGAAGGAGAGATGCTAGATCTGACCTTATTGACTCTGTCCACAAAGAAAGACAAAAAGTTCTCACAGTCTGCAACAGAGTGGATGGAGGCTGTAGGAGAGACAGGAGAGACGATGCTGCTGATGGTGTTAAACAGCACCTTGGGGTTCCCTTTGCTCTGGGACACCAGGTTGGAGAAATAGGAAACCCTAGCTTCTCTGACTGCAGAGTTAAAGGATGTCAGAAGATCTTTTAGGTGCAGCAGATGGACGTGGAGATGGGTTTTCTTCCACAAACGCTCAATTTTTCTGCATTGGCACTTCAGGCTGCGAAGGCTGTCATTAAACCAGGGAGTAGGGTTCACTGCAGGAACTGATCTGGTTCTGACAGGACAGATGTTGTCCAGAATGGAGAGGCAGTGCTCGTTAAACTGAGAAGTTAAGGAATCTGGGTCGTTATCAGAAGAACAGGGTGGATCAAAAGCAGCAGAAAAATTGTTAGCTGTGCTCTCATTAAGAAAACGAGAACTAACCATACGGCGAGCAGGAGGTGGGGACGCAGAAACTGACAAGTTAAAGAAAATGCAATGGTGATCTGAAATATAAACATCCTCAGGACAAACACTGTCAGCATTTTGACTCAGGGTAAAAACAAGGTCTACAGTGTGCTCCCTGGTGTGTGTGGGGCTTCAAACATGCTGGGTACAGCTGAAGGAGTCCATAAGGCTGGTCCATAGCTAAAGATAAAGATAAAGAGAGAAAAGAAGTGGACCAAGAATGGATCCCTGTGGCACCCCACAGTGAAAGGATTTGTCCATACAACAAGAGTCAATCGTTAAGGTGCTGAGCCACAGATACCGATGGCTCAGGGAAAGTCAGTCAATGGTATCAAAAGCTGCTTAGAGGTTTGGCAGCACCAAGATGAACCGGGCACCTGGACATATTAGTGTCGTTATGTCCCTTTGGTAAGAAAGACTTTGTACAAGAACATGGTCTGTTACTAGACAAAAACAAAAAAATAAACTAACTAAAAAAAAAAAAGCAACATTCTTCTAACACCTAGGTAAGGATGGGTAAATTAAAAATAGCATGTGTAAAGGCTACTTACCTGAATTCAAACAGGAACTAATGAAGGACAGAACGGTAGGGACATTAAAAAAGCTGGAAGAATATCGAGTGGGCAGCTAGTAGTCCGCATGTGCTGCACTATTTTTGTTCAGATAAGAAAAGGACACTAGTTCAAACTGCTGGAATGCAGAACCAGCAGAAACCGTAGAGAAGACCATTATCAACTGGTGAGATAGGAGCCTAACAGACACCACTTTATCAATAAAGAACAAAAAATTCTCACTAGTGACTGACGCATCAGGCCAAGCTGTTAGGGGTGGATTTAAAACAGAACTGATAGTGTTACACATTTCTAAAGGAAAGCAGCATGTTGTGTCGTTTGACAACCACAATTCAAATTGGGGACTTCTTAAATTTAACAGGTGCAACAAAGTCCAAACAACAGGTAAGAGCAAATGAAAACATTATGTAAGATAGTCTACAGACCAGGTGAAGTGAAGAACTGTGGATCCATAAAAACGGCAGAAAAGTGTAAGAAATGAAGACACGATAACAGCCTCCTCCCAGTGGTCTATGGGAAACCATGCGATTTCACAAGGTCTAGAGTAGGTGAGTTACCGTACAAATAAATAAAAATATGCCTAAAACCTTACAAACTCAGAAGACATGAATATAAAAATATGAAATATCTTATATTATACAACAGAAATTCCTTGAATGAAATTCATGTTCTTAGCTGGGCGGTAAACAACCTCACATAAAACAGGATTTAGGTTACATCATTTTATCTGTTTTCTCTCAGATATAGCATTTCTGAGTCACTGTTCCTAGGTCTGAGGCAACACGCGACTAATACTGAACCTTTTGTTTGTTTTATAAAAAAGACCCAAAGTAAAGATTAGAGAACATTCAGTCTGCTTATCACGTCAAATAGACTGAATTTTAAACACTTAGTTAACAATAAAACTTTTGTTGTATTCAAGGACTTTGGCATTAAGATTAATTAAATCTTCAGTTTAACTATGAATCAATGTAAGAACAAACCCTAACAAACAAAATCAATAAAAAAGAGCAGGTTGTTTACAAGTTTACTTCTTCCTGCTTCTTTTATCACTCATAAATTATATTTAATGTTGTTAACTTTTGTGTTTGTGGGGTAATATTTGATTTTTTTAAGTAATGTGTTGATTAAAATAAACTTATTTGTTGAGTTTACATTTTTGCAGAGTTGCAGAAGAGATTTTAAGTACTTATTTTTGTGAAAACACTGAATCTGGAATAACCAAATTACACACTTGAGCAAGTCACTTTGAAATAAAACACACATCAGAGGTTTTTCATCATTCTCAATTTTTTTTATCCCTTAAAATGTGCACATATGAATAATTTGTGAAATTTTAATCCTTGAGTGTTTTAAGTATTTGTGTTTTATCTTTTCTTGTTGTTTAAGCTTTATTCTTATTTTATACTCCTTTTTGCTCCTGTAATGACCATCATTGCTGCTGTGGCACCAAACTTTCTCACTGTGGGAAAATAAAAGGGCTTTCTGTTTGGGCAGCAGTATTTCAGGAGGTAGAGTAGGTTGTCCAGTAAATTAAAGGCTGTAGGTTCAATCCCAGCTCCTGCCAGATAATTCTGCTGTTGTGTCCTTGGGCAAGACACTTAATCCACTTTTCCTGCTGGGTGGTCGGAGGGACAAGTGGCGCCAGTACTCAGCAGTCTCACCCCTGCCAGTGCCCCATCATCACCACTATGTGAATGGGTGGATGACTGTGTTGCAAAGTGCCTTGGGGGGCTGTAAAACCCTAAGGAGGTGCTACACAAATACAGACCATTTTCCATTTCTATTCTATTCTCTGATTTACTGTGAGGCTCACTGGTTCCAGCAGACACCTGCATCCCTGTTGTTAGGCTGTGAGCTGAGAGCAGTGTTCATCCTGTCTCCAATGTGTCTGTGATGCATCCATGAGCCTGTCTGAGACAAAAGTCTCAAGAATCTCATATCCTCTTCAGTTCAGAACGCCTATAGAGACATTTGAATACTCACAAGCTGTGTAATCGGAATATTAGACGTTCCATGTATACAGGGGTAACTCTTTACTTGTGCACGTAAATGGGTCATTCCGAATTTTTCTGAAATTCGAATACCGGCTGCATGTAAACGTAGTCAGTGAGACTTCTGTGTTGTTTTGTTCATCTTCATCAAAGAGAACAGTTGCTAATATGTGCTGCTGAGCATGGGGAGCATTTGAACAGTTAGGGCGCGGAGTTGGGTGTTGAGGAAGAACGATAACAACTGCATCAGCCACAGAAGCATACGTTGACTTGAGCATGTTGCTACACTGGATTCATCAGCTCCATCAGGAGGTCGGTCGGTGTGCTTTCCATGTCAACGTCAAACAGACTGCTGAGCTGTTTGAAGCCCAGAAATGGAGATTCTAAGTCGGCAAATCGCCAAGTAACATTGTAATTAATTACTGCAGGACGTACATGTGCAACTGAGCATGTGATAAGTTAACATTTCAGAACTTGTAAATTATATTATTGTTGTCCACTTTTCTTTACTAGCTTATCCATGCAGGGTCGGGGGGGGGGGTCCACAAAAATAAACAATCAATGATGAACAAGAGCCTTCCTGCAGAAGGAGAAAAAAAGGGGCTGGTGTCTTTCTCCAGTTGTCTTTTGGCAAACAGGCAGGGTACACCCTGGACAGGTTGCCAGTCCATCGCCGGGACACACACACACACCTGTTTTTGGACTGTGGGAGGAAGCCGGAGTACCTGGAGAGAACCCACACGTGCACTGGGAGATCATGCAAACTCCTTGCAGAAAGACCTCAGGCCAGGATGTGAACCCAGGACCTTCTTGCTGCAAGGCAACAATGCTAACCTCTGCACAGGCCTTTTTTTTATTATTATTGTATCAAGATACCAATAAAAATGGATCCCAGTTCAATAATAAACAAACTCTAGTGACCTTGCAGAGAAAGTCTTTTTTGATGTTGAGGGTGGTGGTGGGGGGTGTTCCTCCTCTCTAGGTCTTTTAGAAGTTCTCAGGCCTTGGCTTCACAGATGTACCTGAAGGACAGACTACAATCTACATCATTCCATTGCTTGAGTTTGCGTTTGACAGTGCTGTGAATCTGGCCACAGTCCTCTCCGTTCTCTCTGTAGTCCCAGTTGTCTGGTTGACCAACATCCCAGAATCTGAACATAAACAGGGCCTGGGTTATTTTTGAAGTGCTTTTTCAGTGTTTCTCTACATTTTCACATGGTCTCACATTGGGGTCGAATGAAAGTCTGTTCCATCCACCCAACTCCAGTGTCCCTCCTACTGTCGCGCCACAAGTCCAATCCAGTAGTGCTGATTCATCTTCACAACTCTTGAGATGTACACCCTTGTTACAGGGTAAACCTGTAACAAAATTTTAAACATAATGGATCCGGGGGGATCCCAAGGCATTTCCTGGCCAGGTGAGAGACATAGTCCTTCCAACGTGTCCTGGGAGGAGCATCAGATGGTTCTTTTCAGCCTGCTCTTACTAACACTTTGGCAGATGTGCAGGTAGGTTCCTGGGGGTTAAAAGAACATTCACCAGTTCCTCCATGGTGTTGAGAACCAACAGGTACCCTCTGAGAGACCTGGACTGCTCTTCTGCTTTGTTCCACTGAACTCCAGAGGTGGAGAACAGGTAGCAGCTTTTCTGGAAACTGACCCATCCCTCCCTGCACGTTCCTAGTTTTATCAGTGTTAAGAAGCTGATTGAGCAAAAACACTGAAAGCAAAAAGTATTTAAGCTGTTAGTTTTAACTCTAACTGGAACAAGTTCATCCAAAATAACTTCTGTTGCTGTTGGACCTTGAAGACATGATCAGAAGATTGTAGATGTTCAGAGCCCTGATTAAGGACATGGAGTGTTTTTTTCTGTCATTTTCAAATCAAAATACCTTTTTTTTTTTACCTGAGCTTGAAGGTGAGGTGAATCGCTGCTGGATAGTTCCAAGCTGCAGTTTGACATCTGACATCCTTGCTCAGCTGAGAGACTGTTGAATGAATTACATGACTATATGAATGATTTTATAAAACACAGAGTCACCAGTTGTTTTTAAAGGCGTACATTTTATTCCCGTTACCATCAGAAGAATCACCAGCAGCTGTCACGTTTGAGCCAGGAGGAGGTCAGGACCCAAGATGCAGAAACCCAGAACAACAACAAGGCAGGTGCGTAGTAAAACATAAAATCCTTTTATTAGGAGTCAATGTCCAAAAATCCAAGAAGGGGCAGGAAGCCAAGCCTAAAGTCAGTGACCCGACTGACAACAAAAAGCTCTTTGATGAGCAAAACCTAGAGTTTCACGAGGAGGAACAGAACAACACTGACAACGACAATGGACCGACACACACTGAGACAAGACAGGGTTCTGTTTCGTTCCCTCCTGACTGCCAGTGGCAGTAAACAGAGTGGATGTATCTCCTCGCGCTCTGCGCAGGTCGAGTACTAATGTAAACAAAGTCACGCACGTGACACGTAGCGCACCTGGTCGCGAGTCTATAAATTACGCGCCGATAGCTACGTTCGGGTCTCTTTGATCTTCTCGCTGTTGGCCTGGCGTGCTTCGCTGGTCAATCGCTCCGTAAGTCCGTGATTCGGATCTTATCGGTCTTGAGAGGTGAGTACTGTTTTTACTTGGCGTCTTCCTGCCCGGGACCGTGTGGTCGGAGCGCTCGAAGGAGCCCTCTGGGGCGGTGGATTGACGCTGTTATTTATCTGCTAATTGTTACCGAGTGCGGGTGGTGCGGCCGGCCGGCGCCGTTCGGACCGCCGCTGCCGGCTCGGATAGGGCTCGCTGGCGGTCGCAGGTTTTCCCCTGTGGAAAGGGGAGGTGAGTGCGGCCGGCGAGCGCTACAGGTAAGTGGGGCTGGACGTTCTGACCGTGGTGGTGGCACGCTCAGATTACCTAGCCGACACACACGCACGTGTGTTGTTTTACAACGCTACCGGTGAGTGGGGCTGGACGTTCTGACCGTGGTGGTGGCACGCTCAGATTACCTAGCCGACACACACACACGTGCGTTGTTTTACAACTCCAGGACTGAATCGCGTTCTTCAGTTTTCCTCGAAGTCCTCGCTCAGTTCCTGTGGAGTCGCTGGCGTCTCCCACACCGGTAAGGATGTTGGAGTGTACGTCATGCGGGGCTCCCCTCCAGGTGGAGGACGGCCACGACTTGTGTCCTAAGTGCCTGGGCGTCGGTCACCTCAGAGAGGCGCTGACTGACCCGTGCATGAACTGCAGCATTTTGCCGCTGGCGGTGCGGGAGGACAGGCTACGTCAAGTGGAGTGCCTCCTGTTTGAGTCAGACCTGCCGCCCTCTGGTGTCCCTCGCCCGTGTTCCGGGAGACGGAGGGATAGACCGGCTGAGGAACGCGGCAGCCCGAGGCGCAAGAAGCGGCGTGTGGCGCAACCCTCTCGCCAGGAAGTGGACTCTTTGCGGGCGGAGGTGGAACAGCTCAAAGCGCTGCTGACCAGAGCCCCGGACGAGGGGGGCCAGGACGACCTGATCTCTGTGAGGGCCTCAAATTCTGAGTTTCAGTCCCTCGAGGAGGAGGGCCCCTCTCCTGGCCGTAGTCAGGGGCTGGTGATGGAGCCCCCGGGCCTGGGAGGTCACGGTGACTCGGGGATGTCTCTCCATAGCTCAGCAAGCTCGGAGCTGGCGGAGGACCCCTGTCAGTTGCGGGCGATTTTGCGAGCGGCACTGGCCAGGATTGGACTGGACGACGTGCCGGTGGCCCGTCCGGCAGGGAATCCCTTCTTCCGCCGGGCTCCGGCGGCGCCCCCGTTTCAGGTCCCACCATCGCCAGCCTTTGTGGAGGAGCTGCAGCGGTGCTGGGGGGACCCGAGACAGCTCTCCCACCATGGTAGGGATGCCAGGACCCTGGCATCGATGCGGGAGGCAGGAACCTACGGGTTGGACCGCATGCCCCCGGTGGACCACTGCGTTGCCTCTCTGGTGCTCTCCCCGGATGAGGCATTGAGGGACAGGGTCCGCTGTCCGAGCACCCAGTGTCGGGTGACCGACAGCTTACTGTGCCGGGCTTACGACATCGGGGCACGGATGGCACGCACCAGCAATTCGCTGTCAGTGCTGTTGCTAGCCCAGTCCCAGATGCTGCAGTCGGGCGCAGCGGGGATGGCACTGGGCGATACGAACGACGCAGCCCTGCAAGCATTTGGGCTGATGTCCAGGGAGCTTGGTCGGTTGTTGGGCACGCTGGTAGTGGCTCGCCGTCAGGTCTGGTTGGCGCAGGCTCCGGTGTCGGATGATTGCCGACAGAGCCTGCGCGGTCTGCCCGTGGTGCCGGGCCAGTTGTTCGGGCCCGAGGCTGAGCGGGCGTTGGAACGTCGGCGGCAGTCCAGACAAGCCGCAGAGGCCTGGAGTGGGCGTAGCGGGGCAGGGGTCCTCCCCATGCCACAGTCCAGGCCACGAGGGGCACGGGACCCTCGGCGCCGGTTTCGTCCGGCCGCCCCCTTGCAGGTCGCCCAGCAGGCCGCGGCTGCGGCAGGGACTTGGAGACGCTTGGGGGCAGGTCAGGCCCCGCCCCGGGGATCCTCGGGGCAGGACAGGGGCCGCCGCCCCCCCAGGGCCCCAAACAGGCGTCGGGACACGGCCTGAGGGCTGTGGGCCGGCGGCGGGCAGATTTACACCACAGCACCTGGCCCTCTGGGAGGCCCAATGCGGAGACGCTTGGGTGGTTCGAACTATGTCCCAGGGCTACAGGTTGCAGTTCCGCCGTCGGCCCCCACCCCCTTCGGGGGTCAGGGTGACTTCGGTCACAGATCCTGCACGGGTCAGCATCCTGATGCAGGAAATAGATGTGCTCCTGGACAAACGGGCCATAGAGGTCGTTCCGCCGCATTTGCAGGCAGACGGCTTTTATTCGACGTATTTCTTGGTGCCCAAGAAGGACGGGCCCCTGCGGCCGGTACTGGACCTCAGGGGTCTCAATTGGTTCCTGAAGGTGCTGCCCTTCCGCATGCTTCGGACTCGCGATGTCCTTCAGGTGGTTTGTCCGGGAGAGTGGTTTACGACCATAGACCTCAAGGATGCATACTTCCATGTCCCGATCCATCCGGGGCACAGGAAGTACCTGCGGTTTTCTTTCCTCGGGAGGGTGTACCAGTTTCTGGTTCTGCCATTCGGCCTGTCTCTCGCCCCCCGAGTTTTCACGCGGTGCGTTAAGGCAGCCCTGAGCCCCCTGTGTCGGGCGGGGTTGAAGGTCCTGCCATATCTCGACGACTGGCTCGTCTGCGCGCCGTCGTGTCGCGAAGTGGGTCTGGCCACGGCCAGGGTCCTTGCCCACGTCGAGGCGCTGGGGATGACGGTGAACCTGCAGAAGAGTTCTCTGGTTCCGACTCAGCGGGTGGATTTTATCGGCATTGCCATAGATTCTGTGGCCATGCGGGCGAGGCTGACCGAGCAGAGGAGGGTCCGGATTCGGTCCTTGCTCCGGGCCTTTCGCCTTGGGGCGGCACCCCCGGTCCAGGTGTGGCTGCGACTGTTGGGGATGCTGGTCTCGGCTTCTGCACTGGTGCCTCTCGGGCTGTTCCACCTTCGGCCCTTGCAGAGGTGGTTCAACGGCTTCCGCCTGGATCCCCGGCGACACCGACGGGTCGAGCTGGAGGTCACGAGCAGCTGTGTGGCTCTTTTGCGTCGTTGGGACGATGTCGCCTACCTGAGTCTCGGCGTCCCGCTTGGCGCGGTTCCCGCCAGACGGGAGGTGGTCACGACGGATGCGTCACCCCGGGGGTGGGGGGGCGCATTGGCAGTGCAGGTCGGTCCAGGGGTTGTGGAGCCCCCGTCAGGCACGGCTTCACATCAATGTCCTGGAGTTGAAGACCGTCTACTTGGCGCTGAGGCGCTTCTTGCCCTTTCTGCGGGGCAAGCACGTGCTCATCCGGATGGACAGCACCTCGGCGGTGTTCCACATAAACCATCAGGGGGGCACCAGGTCGTTGCGATCGTTGAGGGAGGCTCAGACGCTGCTGACCTGGGCTTACCCTCGCTTGGCCTCCATCAGGGCGCTGCACCTTCCGGGGTGGAGGAACTCGGTGGCGGATTGCCTGTCCCGGCGGGGTCTTCCCCCGGGGGAATGGAGGTTGCACCCTCAGGTGGTGCAGAGGGTGTGGCATCAGTTCGGAGAGGCCCAGGTGGATCTGTTCGCCTCGAGGAGCAGCACACATTGCCCTCTGTGGTTCTCCCTGGCAGAGGCCGACGCCCCTCTGGGGATGGACGCCCTCGCCAATGCCTGGCCGTTGGTTCGGCTGTACGCTTTCCCGCCGTCTCCGTTGATCTTACCAACCCTCCATCGGGTGAGGGACTCGTCACACGAGGTCCTTCTGGTGGCGCCAGACTGGCCCATGAGGCTCTGGTTTCCATTGCTTCTCAGTCTGCTGAATGGAGAGCCATGGCAGTTGCCGGCGAGACGGGACCTCCTGTCTCAGATGGAGGGGAGGATTTGGCATCCGTCCCCAGATCATCTTCGGCTCACGGTGTGGCCATTGAAAGGGGCAGGCAGCCCCCAGTCGGCTTAGAGCCCTCCATCCAGCAGGTGCTGGATAGTGCCAGGGCTCCGTCTACAAGGGCCACGTACGCTCGCTGTTGGCAGCGGTTCGCTACCTGGTGTTCTGGCAGGGACGTGGACCCTGGTTCTTGTTCCCTGCATGAGGTTCTGCGGTACCTCCGGCACCTGTTCGACAAGGGCCGGGCCGCCTCGACCCTTAAGGTACACCTGGCGGCTATTTCGGCCAACCACCTCTTGGTGGATGGCAGGAGCATTGGGGCTCACTGTTTGGTGACCCAGTTTCTGCGGGGCGTGAGAAGGTTGCGTCCTGCCTTGTGCAGGCCGGCACCTGCTTGGGACCTTCCCCTGGTCCTGCGGGCCATGAGTGGGCCACCCTTTGAGCCAATGACTACCGCCCCGTTGGCAGTGGTGTCTGTGAAAACCGCCTTTCTCTTGGCAGTGACGTCGGCTAAACGGGTCAGTGAGCTGCACGCACTGGACATCAGCCCCGCCTGCCTGCGGTGGAAGGCAGATGGGTCGGGGGTGACGCTGTGGCCCAACGTCGCCTTTCTTCCCAAGGTTCTGCCCGCGGGCTACGTGAATGCCGCAATCGAGCTGGGGGCGTATTTCCCTCCCCCATTTCTTTCGGAGGAACAACGGCGGGTGAATTTGCTGTGCCCGGTCCGGGCACTGCAGCTCTATATTGTGGCCACAAACACTGTCCGGCAGTCGAACCAGCTGTTTGTCTGTCACGGAGGAGTGAACAGGGGTCGGGCCCTCTCGAAGCAGAGGCTGTCGCATTGGGTCGTGGACGCCATTGCGATGGCTTACGCGGCAGTG